GCAAAATTAAAACAAAAATATTATGAAAGGAAATTACTGGTTTTTGTAGCTCACACACCAATCAAGCATAAATAAAAATTACATATAAAACCAATCATTAATTAAAAAAAAAAGTCCACACCAAAGTTAATGTATGCTGTATAATACTGATAATTTACAGCTGACTTGTTTAATCAAATTTAGATACATGATCAAATATATGCACAAGTGTGTTACTTGTGCATTATTTGCATCAATACCTCTCCTGAACATGTACATAGTCACAGGGAATTGTATCACTTGTACTCAACAGGGACAGTGGGCAGTTTTCACTTAGAAAGAATTGGTGAAATTCAAATTTAAATACTTTGGACAAGTCTCCAGCCACTGTTTTTAATTAGCAACTGAAAGATAATTGCAATACTATCAGGAGCAGGGGCCTCCATAATGGCAAAGGACACACATGCCAGGGGCATCATGGATACTGATGCCTCAATGTCATTACTTACAAAATGCACATTTGACAATGAAGTTACTCCATGGGTTCCTATGCCTCATGAAGTCCCTTCTGCAGAGAAAACCACACTGGACTTTAGTGTTTTTTCATCAAATTAGCAATAGGTCAGTATGTGTTTGCAAAGGTTGAGGGTCCTTGTTTGATTCCTGCTTGATGGGGTTCTGGAACTTGTTTTACTCTTCAGGCTTGGCTCAAGGACAGGCTTGACTTGTGAGAGCTTGGTCCAACAGGCTGTTGCTTGGAGCGGCCTGCAGGCCCACATATCCAGCACAGCCCAGTTGGTCCGGCACTTCTTGAAGAAAACTATCTAGTTTTCTCTTGATGTCCACAGTTGTTCCGGCAATATTTCTTATACTAGTACTCGCTGGGAGGATGTTGAACAACTGTGGACCTCTGATGTTTATACAGTGTTCTCTTATTGCGCCTATGGCACCCCTGCTCTTCACTGGTTTCATTCTGCATTTTCTTCCATATTGTTCACTCCAGGATATTTTTATTTTATTGTGTAGATTTGGGACCCAGCCCTCCAGTATTTTCCACATGTTCATTATTTGATATCTCTCTTTCTTGTCTCCTTTCTATTGAGTACATTTGGATAATTTTGGAGACTATCCCAATAATTTAGGTGCTTTATTGCACCTAAATATGTATGTATGCCATATATGTTCTCTGTATTCCCTCTATTTCAGTAATCTCTCCTGCTCTGAAGGGGAAAGTGAGTACTGAGCAGTACTCAAGATCGGACAGCACAAGTTAGTTGAATAGTACAACCATTGTGATGGGATCCCTGGATTTGAAAGTTCTCGTAATCCATCCTATCATACTTCTGGATAAAATATTTGCTTGGTTATGCTCCCTAAACGTTAGATCGTCAAACATCATTATTCCCAAATCCTTTACATGCTGCTTCCCTACTACAGGCAGATTTGATTGTGTTTAGTACCCTGTATTATGTTTAAGGTTCTCATTTTTACCATTCCTGAGTACCTGGAATTCATCAAAGTTTAACATCATGTTATTTTCAGCTGCTCAGTTAAAAACTTTATTAATATCTGCTTGTAGACTTTCAATGTCTTCAGCAGAGGTAATTTTCATGCTGATTTTTGTGTCATCTACAAAAGATGATACGAAGCTGTGACTTGTACTTTTGTCTATCTGATATGAGAGAAAGGAAAAGCAGTGGTGAAGGGACAGTACTCTGAGGTATAGAGCTTTTAACTACACTTGGACTCAATTTAATTTGGTTGACTGTTACTCTGTGTTCCGTTCAACAGAAAATTGAGTATCCACTGTCCTACCTTACCAGTTATTCCTATTGATCTCATTTTATGTGCCATCATGGTCACATTCATAAAATGCCTTTGTAAAGTCAATATATACTACATCTGCATTTTGTTTTTCTTCTAATGCCTCAGTGATTTTGTCGTAGTGGTCAAGTAGCTGTGAGAGGCATGATCTTCCCACTCTTAATCCATGTTGGCCTGGGTTGTAGAGGTCATTGGTCTCCATGAAACTGGAGACCTGACTCCTGATCACTCTCAAATACTTTTATTATGTGGGACGTTAGCGCAACTGGTCTATAATTCTTTGCCAGTGCTTTGGTCCCTCACTTGTGTAGAGGGAATATGTCTGCTGATCTAAGCACATCTGGTATCTCCCCCATGTCCAAGCTCTTCCTCCACACTATATTCAGTGCCTGTGCTACTGGCACTTTGCATTTCTTTATAAATATTGAATTTATGAATATTGAATTCAATAAATATTGAATAGGGTGTATGCAAAGTTTGCCAGGACCCTCCCTGATCGGATATTGTTCCACATTATTGTTCCATTGTCCTGCATCTGGCGTACAGGACACCTTAACCACTCCACCAACACGACCAGACAAAAGGAGGCTATAGCCATAGCTATTTGAACCACCCCCCCGCCGGCACTCTGTTGGTAATCTTGGGCATAGTATCAAATCAAATTTATCAAATCACCTCATTCTTTGGGGCACACGTGAGGAACACAAATGCGAACAAGCCTGAATGATCCCCAGGACTATATGCAACTGAAAACAGAGTGCCGGCGAGGGGGGTGGTTCAAATAGCTTCGGCTATCACCTCCTTTTGTCCGGTCGTGTTGGTCGAGTGGTTAAGGTGTCCTGTACGCCAGATGCAGAGTGCTCCTGGCAGTATGGGTTCGAGTCACTTCTGGGGTGTGAGTTTTCAGTTGCATATAGTCCTGGGGACCATTCAGGCTTGTTCGCATTTGTGTTCCTCACGTGTGCCCCAAAGAATGAGGTGATTTGATAAAATACTATGCCCAAGATTACCAACAGAATGACGGTGGGGGATGGGGGGGGGTGGTTCAAATAGCTTCGGCTATCACCTCCTTTTGTCTGGTCGTGTTACCTTGAGGTGCTTCCGGGGCTTAGCGTCCCCGCGGCCCGGTCGTCGACCAGGCCTTCTTGGTCAAGTGGTAAAGGTGTCCTGTACGCCAGATGCAGAGTGCTCCTGGCAGTATGGGTTCGAGTCACTTCTGGGGTGTGAGTTTTCAGTTGCATATAGTCCTGGGGACCATTCAGGCTTGTTCGCATTTGTGTTCCTCACGTGTGCCCCAAAGAATGAGGTGATTTGATAAAATACTATGCCAAAGATTACCAACAGAGTGCCGGCAGGGGGGTGGTTCAAATAGCTTCAGCTATCACTTCCTTTTGTCCGGTCATGTTGGTCGAGTGGTTAAGGTGTCCTGTATGCCAGATGCAGAGTGCTCCTGGCAGTATGGGTTCGAGTTTTCAGTTATTTATATTTATATATATATATATATATATATATATATATATATATATATGTCGTACCTAGTAGCCAGAACGCACTTCTCAGCCTACTATGCAAGGCCCGATTTGCCTAATAAGCCAAGTTTTCATGAATTAATTGTTTTTCGTCTACCTAACCTACCTAACCTACCTAACCTAACCTAACTTTTTCTGCTACCTAACCTAACCTAACCTATAAAGATAGGTTAGGTTAGGTTAGGTTAGGTAGGGTTGGTTAGGTTCGGTCATATATCTATAGTACGTTAATTTTAATTCCAATAAAAAAAAATTGACCTCATACATAATGAAATGGGTAGCTTTATCATTTCATAAGAAAAAAATTAGAGAAAATATATTAATTCAGGAAAACTTGGCTTATTAGGCAAATCGGGCCTTGCCTATTAGGCTGAGAAGTGCGTTCTGGCTACTAGATACGACATATATATATATATATATATTATTTATTTATAAATGATAATGACCCACTAAGTAATTTTGGTGGGTGTGATAATGAAATCCAAGGACAATACAGAGCCACACGCTATGAGCAGACAATGTCACCTAATGCAGGAAAATTTCTTTCATACAGTGTCCAGAAGATGGCCATGGGTACATCATCACACAGTACCCTGTATTATTTAGTCACTAGGAACTGATGTGGCTCCATGAGACCTCTAGGTGGAGAGTGAAACTGTAATAGAAATTTCCAAGATGGAAATGATGTACACCCAACAAGACACTACATCAACACCACTGAATGATAAAAAAAAAGAGGTCTTACCATCGATTGGTATGGCCTGCAATAGATGAGGTAAAGTGAAACTGACCCCAACCCTTAGAATGCTAACTCTTGTGGACCTCAGTAAGGGATCTTTCCTTCGGCCAAGGGTCTAACATAGAATTAGATTTTTAGAAGAAGCATTCTTCTGCCACAGATTCAGACACAACTGCTTTACAGCATATCTCAACTGTTTCCAACTGTTTCCTACTGCCCATGAGACCCTAAGTAGGAAGATATGGTAGAGCATCTTCAAAACTGCTGAAAATTTTACTTGGTGGAAATGAGAATACAGTGCGCTATCAGATGTTTACAAATCTTGTACCTCACTGTTTGTGATCCTCTTGACAAGCTGGTGCAAGGGATGACAACACCAGTCATCAGATGACTTACACCCCCTTTTAAAATAATTTGGATCCAAGTATCCAGTGTATATCCAATCCATGAATTAGCACTGCCCCTTCCCCCCTAAATAAACGACAGTAACATACACAAATGTGTGTGCATATACTAAACATGCATGCACTCTAACATTGCCATGAGGAAGTTTAAAGAGTGTGTTTTTGACTAACATAAACGTTGCTTTAAGTGATAGTGAAATCGTTATCATTCACTGCTAATTTCTTTATGCCAAGCAGTTTACATCACATTGGTAAATGTGATATACTGTAAATAATTATAAATTTAATTAGAAAAAAAATAATTTATCCAAATAATAAATATATTTATACAGAATGAATATGAAAATTAGCATACAACTACAATACAGTATATAGATTTCCAACTGAATCATATAGTAAATAATCAGTATTATACTTAGTAAGACAGAATTATTTGATCTATAATAGCCATAAACTAATTCTGTGCTCAAAACATCAATCCATACAGAGAATGGTGAAATATTACAAAGCAATTCATGACCTTACCTCATTGATCTCCAAGAGGTCACCTGTTCTGGGGTCAATGACATCCCCATAACTGCGACCTGCTATGGAACACTTGTTGAATGCCATGATGTTCTGTCAATGAGAACAATAAATTTATGCAGATACCTTTATTACTGAGTATGATTACCTATTTTAAATTTCTAGTGTAGTACTATCTCAACATTAATAAGGGAATAAAAAAGAAAAAACATAAACAGGGAAAACTGTACAATAATTATTACAAGGGTGATATGGATAAAAACAAAGCAACCCAACATGTGGTGGTTGAGTGCGAGTGTAGCCAAATAGTATTGGGAGAAAGAAGGACCCTGCTGACTACCTCTACAGCATTACTTCTATCAGCAACTGAAGTTGATCTCCTTACTTGTGACAGTTGGGAATTCAGTGTCTTGAAATGTGCAGGATTGTGCAAGTTAGGGCACTGGAATGGATTCGTCGCCTGGTCAGCACAGGATGCCTAAGCACTCATGTGCAAAGTCTTTGCATGAGGCCAGGACAACAGTGTGGGGGGTATCATCTGATAGCCCCTAATGTAAGCAGATCATTAACACCACGGTGACCGTCGTAGGCCATCATTGCAAGCTCCTACAAGTGCCAGTATTTAAGCATTTGGGTATGTGTGTACACAGAGCAGCAGCTAGTAGAGAGTTGGTGTGGCCAATGAAGCTTGGACAGAGATGTGGGGATTCTAATCTGTGGGGACCTGCCTGAGGTGGGTGTGCTCAGGTCACCCAACATATGTAAGAATATAAACCACTGAACAAGCTTTGAGAACCTTCTAAAACATTTTCCTTGTAAGCATAGAGGCTGCTCTGTGATTGGTTAAGATAAGAAAAAAGCCATCTGATTGGGTTATGCATGCCTGTGTCGCTACACAAAGGCGAGTGTCCACCACCCTCAAGGTGGGTGGATAGGAAGTGATTCTGTAACTGGAAGGTCTAGAGTGTGGAGGCTCTCTGTAATTGTGCTGACCTTGGCTAAGGTCCTACAGAGAATGCATCCCACCTGACAGAGGGTTTCACTTCCCACCTGGAAGTAAAACCCTCTGTTAATGTAATGTACCTGTGTGTAACAGTGTTACTTTAGTTTGATAAATTTGTGTTAAATTACACATGTTATAATTAAACCATTTCCCCTTACTAAGTCTCACATAAGACTGCCATATGACTCCCATATTCACGTAATTGTTCTTGACACATTTCAAGGGGGTAGAGCTGCTTTACAGCCTTACATCTTTTATAAATCTGACGTACTGAACCCCCCTAGCATTCTATGCCTTCTAGAGATCTTCGTTTGGGCAGGAAGATACCTGACCATAAGATTTCGATATACAGTAGTGGAAAAGATTATATCTTTGGGCTATTATCTCAGCCACTGGAATAGCAGTATCTTCTTGTTAGCTCTTTTGGGAACTCAATGTGGACTGTTGCAAGTGCCACAAGTAACTGCAGGTCCTCTGAGAAATCCTAGATATTACACTACAGGTACTTAGATGAATTTGGTTAAAATTATCTAACCTATTTTTTCTTGCAGAACTATTAAAAAAGTTCCCTATTAACTTCAGGATATGGATACCTGATATGCATATGGATACCTGATATGGATATGGATACCTGATCAACCAAGCTGTGATTCATACATCAGGCTGCGAGCAGCCACGTCCAACAGCCTGGTTGACTAGACCAGCAACCAGGAAGCCTGGGGCCAGATTCACGAAAGCACTTACGCAAGTACTTGCGAACGTGTACATCTTTTCTCAATCTTTGACGGCTTTGGTTACATTTATTAAACAGTTTACAAGCATGAAAACTTGTAAACACGTTCGTAAGTGTTTGTGTAAGTGCTTTCGTGAATCTGGCTCCTGGTCGAGGACTGGGCCTTGGGGACATTGAGCCCCGAAATCATCACAAGGTAACCACAAAGTTACCTTGCAGGTATTCAGGAGAGAGCATGAATTAGAAACATTTTAGAAGTTACTTCATAATTCTATTAAAATACCCTCTACTACCCCCCCCCCCTTTCAGAGAACTCACATATTAATTAGTCTCATCTGGCTGCTGATTTTAGAATACACTTTTTGAGAGTGGACCTAACATTGGCAGGTGTTGGTTGGAAATTCCAGACAGATATTTTAACACTTTCGCGCTCTCGGCGCTCAAAAAAAAAACAATACCCCAGATGCTTTCGGCACTTCGCGCGCCTACGCGGTAAGACCGAAAAAGTGTACACTCTTTTGACTGTCCTGACAATAATTGAAGGCGCACGTATTTAAATTTGGTATCACTGTGTTCGCAATGCAATTGTCTATAAGAGCATACCTATAAAATGCCGCCCAAGCATAAGGAGTATCAACACCAAATAAAAAACTATGCAGATCACTCGCCGAGAGCGCCAAACAGCAACAAAATGTTTCCACTCTCTTAATGGTTGCGAAGCCTACAGTTGTCCTACATCGCTAATTTTGGTATCATTGGAATCGCAATAAAATTCTCTACACGGACATATGCATATGAATGTTTAATATAGGTAATTGCCCACCCGCAAGAGTGTGTGAAGTGGAGAGTAGTTAGCCGCGAGCGCACTGGCGAAAACACAGGGGGGAAATCATGCTTGGAAAGTTTATACGTTTCCTGACCCTACTTTTTTATGTACGTATTTCTTTTTTATACCAATGTGTTCGCAATAAAATTTTCTATAAGATGAACTGTATAACATCTGTACAAAGCATGTGTAAGAGACGCGCCAAATATAGAACCACGTCGCTCAGTATGCGTTCGCGGCAGAAACGAACGCATTGTTTTCGTTCGTTTGATGTTTGTCATGTTTATACTTGTTGAAACATTTTATAATTTGTATGACAGTGATCGCAGTAAAATTCCCTACACAGACATATACATAACACATACAAATATTTCCCACGTGTTGGATATATCAACGGCTAAAGGGAACCCACTGCCACACGCTCGCCACACCCCCAAACATGCTTTGTGTATTTTGTTTTTTACTCATAGAAGTTTATGTGATATAATATTCATTCTGGTACCAAAAAATTTGCAAATAAATTCTCTACAAAACAAAAGTATCCCCATCCATTTCGGTTAAAAAATGGAATTTATAGAAATATTTTTTCGATGGACGAGAAAAGTAGGCTGTTATGCGGAATCGTAAGAAAAAACAGCGACGAGTTATCTCTAATCTAAAGCGCGAAAGAGGTTAACAATTTATACTTTTCTGTTAACTGTGCAACAATTAGTTAACTATGTTATGACTTTTTTTTTTACCTTTATTGATTTGTTACCATTTCATTATCAGCAAACCTTATGCAAAGAATCAAAATGTTTTGTGAAGGAAGAACCTAGACACAGGCAACATTCCTTTCAACTAAAATCCTTTGTTGTGATCCTTCTGTTTCAGCCCTATACTCTTCTTCATTCTATATGGGGCTAAACAAAATTTGTATTTAATTTTGTAATTTTCTTTATATCTATGAGTACAGTAATAATCTATTCTTTTCAATGTTATCATTTTAAAAAGATAATTCCTCTCCATTTTTAAATAAAAAATATGGTCCAAGCAACTCAATATTAGTAAATTAATATTCCTAGATACAAAAAAATCATTATAATTACAATCACTACAAATAATTGCCAAGAAATTGTTAGGTATTTTAGCTATAAAATAAATCTTGACTATTTTTCACCCCACACTTAATTGTGTTCTTTCCATAATATGAAAAATCATTTCAAATATTTAGTAGATATTACAGAAATAAAGAAAATAGAATGTAAATACAATTTGTTTTTGAGCCTTAGAAACTCAATACCAGGCTATAAATGTTCCAAATGTAGTTATTATAATTCTCATAAAAAAACCAGCATTGTATGTAATGAAACGCCATTTTTGGGGGGAGACCCAGAGGCTCACCAGAGCTATCTATCTCTTTCTGGCATCAAAGTGCATGGAGTTTTTACCTACTAAGGACCACGAGCCAGAACCTGACCCTCAGAGAGGCGTGAGGAGCAATGGCCTATAGAAACCCTCGTGTGGTTGGAAGCATTTTGCCTGCCATCGACCAGGACTGGCACCCAGAAAGGTAGGTGCCTGAAAACAAACCGCTATTCTAGTGAAAATATTGCTACCGAAAGTCGAACGAGTGGACAGAACTCCCCAAATGAAAATTAGCAAATTAACATGATGTCATTACAGTACATTGCTGCGCTGCAGTCTGCACAACCCCTCCTCCTTAGGAGGGGGATGGGGAAGCCCCAGATCCCGTGCCGGCAATCCAACCGCTAGTTCTTAGGCTGGATGTCGAAAAGACGAAAAAACACCGCCGACCGGAGGGCGGGAGGAATGCCGAGGAGCCTCCGGTTCTCACCTGGAAAATGGAGTTTCATTACATTCATTGCTGGTTTTCTGGGGGGTAAGCCCCATTGGCTATCCGGAGTTACCTCACCAAAGATAAGGAAAAGAGGGGAAGGACCCGGGAGGCAGATGCCATGCGCCCTAACTCAAAAACAAATCAACTAGCAAACTGAAGGACCCTACAGAAAACCCAGGAGACCCGAACCCCTGATCAGAAATGAAAGAAGGGAACCCCAGGCAATCCAAAGTGCCCCCAGAGTCATAGAGGCCAAGACGCACAGAAAACAGCAGAGTTGCAACCGAACAAAACACATGATGCACCCCCGGCCCAACCAACCAAACATCAAGAACCCAAGGACCCCTCTGGAAAGCAGCAGACCCATGAATTGCCAAAAAAAAGGAGACTTCTGCAAACGAACAGAACAACCACCAGAACCAAACGAGCAGAAAAACTCCTGCGCCGGAGGAGAGCCTGAAGCGCCCCGAACCAACCCCCAGAGGCCAACGCCCACAGGAAAAAGAAACCAGAAAAAACAACCCTGAACCAAAGGGGCCACGACAAACCGAAGGGAGAAGAGAAGAAGAGACCACCCGGTCCAATGACCAGGACGGCACCGGAGGAGCATGAGCAGGTCGAAGGCGAAACAACACACGAGACAGCTGTTGGAACGAAGCAGAAGTGATATCAATACTGAACACAAGCTGAA